CAGACACAGGAGGGGACTTCAGACACAGGAGGGGACTTCAGACACAGGAGGGGACTTCAGACACAGGAGGGGACTTCAGACACAGGGTCTGGGAGAAAAGGCATCTGGGAGAAAAGGCATCGGGGAGGCACACAATCTGACCCACCCTGACCCCGTAGGAAGCAGAGGTGGGCCCTCCTGCCCCCCAGTCCCTCACCATCCATGTCACAGCCCAACATGGCTTCTTCCAGGGGGTGCACACAACTCTCCTCCAGCCGCTCCTTAGCCGGGGATGTGTCCAGGCTGATGAGGTCCTGGAGTTGACACACAAAATCTGTACATGAGCCCCTCTGCATCACCCCACACCCCTCCCTCCAGCAGACTCAGACCGAATCTTCCACCCCAGTCCCTCAGCTTCCCTGCATCCTGCCCCAGTGCAGGGGAGCCCTCATACCTTGCGGAAGGGGGTGTTGGGGGAGCCCTCTAAGGCCCCACTGTGGCCATGCAGCAGCTGTCGAGCATCCTGAATGGCTTTGGTGACCGCGTCCCCTTCACCAAGGAAGCCTATGGGAAAGTGGGGGAGGAGGAGAAATGGGGGTGGGGGAGGAGGAGAAATGGGGGTGGGGGAGGAGGAGAAATGGGGGTGGGGGAGGAGGAGAAATGGGGGTGGGGCAGCAGAGGGGATCAACCCAGTTCACACCAGGCTACTCCTGTGAGTTTTTCACCGGGGTTGGTGCTCCCTGTCGCCCCTTCCAGACAGCTGCACGTGCCCAAGGGGGCGCTGTTTACACTGGCTGTGGAGCCGTGGGCCAGTAGGCTAGAACAGAGAATCACACTCCCTAAAACTAAAACTCAGTGTGGCCTGGAGCCCTGAAGTGGGGGAGCGGAGCCAGATGTGAGCGGGAAGAGGAAGTAGGGGGCCTTCTGAGACAGCGCAGAAACTAAAAGAGGCCAAAGACGGCAGCTCTGACCCCTTGTTTTACAGAAACCGTAGCCCGCAGAAGGGAAGGACATGCCCAAGGTCATACCATGCATCCCTGGCAGAGCGCTTACCCAATGGCAGACTAGGCGGGCTGGACTGCAGGTCCCGAGTGGGGGCCCCGTGGCTGGGGGGGCGGGGTCCACAGTTCATCTTCAGGCTGGGGGAGCTGGAGGCATTGGGCAGCTCGGGGGCCTTGGGCTTGGCTGTGAGGTTCAGGGGCTGGGAGGACTCCTGAGAGAGACCCAGAGATGAGAGGCTGAGACACACCAGGGCCCTCCCCACCCCCCCCCCCAGAGGTACAGGAGGGGGCACGTTGTAACACAAAGAAAGACAAACATCCCCGGGACACACAAGGGCACGGCAGGAAAGGAAGAGACTGGCAAGAGCAGGTGAAGAAGAGCACAGGAGCCCGCAGTCCCCTGGGCGGGCAGCCCGGGGCCAGTGTGTGGAGCAGTACCTGCAGGGGGTGGTGGGCGGCCATGGCCCCAGGCCTCTTCACCACCGGGGCCGGGGGGCTGTGCAGCAGCTGCAGGGGGTACTCCACTATGGAAAAGGCGGCAGGGAGAAAAGTCCTGGATGAGCACAGAACAGCAGACGCCCTGCTTGACGAGGTCCCGGCCGCAGCAGGTGGGCAGAGGCGTGAAGCTGGCCCAGCTCGTGTGCAGCCCAGGCCTTCCCCAGCGCCCCTGTGCCGCCGAAGGCCTCCTCATCCACCCCCCCCACCCCACCCCTGCACACCGATCGGCATCTTCACCCTTTTCTTGCCCTTCCCAACCCGCTGAGCCTGGAGTTCCCGCCCAACGGGGACCTGAAAGCAGGTATACACCCGCTCATTCTACAGACACTGGTGTTTGTACCTACTATGTGCAGGGTACAAAAGCAGCTCCCTGGGCGTTATCCTGCTCACACATTAGCCCCCAATACCCTAGTGTATGACATGGAACCGGTGCTCAGGACATCACCCCATTTTACAGATGAAGACACAGAGACCAGGAGACGTCACACGGGTTATGCCATAGCTCAGAAACGGCAGCACAGACATTTGAACACAGCCCATCCTTTCCCCCTTACACGGCACCCTCTCTGCTCCACCTGGCCTACCGTGCTGGTCCTCAACCCAGCCCGGCATCAAGGAGTGGACAGCTCAGGTGGAGAGAGAAGCTGTGTACACGAATTGCTAACCACAGGGCCGGTGGTGTTCTGGGCTGCAGGCAGGCAGGTGGAGGGGAGTTGTGGGTTTGCGAGAGCCAAGAAGTGGGAAAGGAGACAGACCCGTGATGGGCAAGGTGGCCTCGGAGGCCTGTGACGGCCGGGCTTGGGTTTGTGGACTCGGTGCTGTGGGCAATGGGGCACCACCTATGGCCTGGGAGCTGGGGGGAGGCGCTCTTCACTCCACTCAGGGAAGGGTCATCTGGAAGCCCGTGGCCCCCTGCTTACTAGGACTCTGAAGCCAGCAAAGCGGTAGCAAGCCGGCCGGTTCAAGTCATCCCACAGCTTATTTCCTGCCTTCCTTGTCCAGAAGCAGGGGGTCAGACGCACCACCACACACTACCCCCAGGCCCTGCCCTCCTCACTCCTGCGGCTCTGTTCCCCTTGAGTTGCAATGGTTTTGTGCTGCTGGCCTGTTCCCCCTTCCCAGTGTCCCCACTTCCCCAAGTGACAACTTCCTTGAAGTTGGGGCCTAACTTTTTCAGTCCTTTGTGTTTCCCCCTCCCCCACACTAGAGCGTCCAGCGTAGAGCAAGGTGGAGCAGAGCTGGCGGTGCTAACCTGTGGCCCACAGGGATTCACCCGCCTGCTCTCGCACACGGAACAGGGAGGGTAGACCCAATGGAATCGACCTAAAAGCTGTCCCCGCTCCTGCAACAACTATGGGCAACCTCCCTGCCCTGACCCGTGACCTTTCAACAAGGTGTCCATGGTCATGGTCTACTAATTCCATCTCCGCTTCTGTCCGAGAACCACCTCAGCAGCCCCCTACCAGCCCCGCTCCGACCGGTCCCCCTTCCCTCTCTGCTGGTGACCCGCAGTCAGTGTGACAACACACCCTCTGCTCAAGTGTTCAAGCAGGATGGAGATCCTACAAAATAAATTCCAAACACCAGGCTCGGCCCCAACTGCTCCCGCCAGCCTGTCTCCCCACCCTGCCATGCGCTCCCCTCCACTCCAACCAACCCCTGCAGCTGCCAACCTCAGGCTCCAGGCCTCAGCTCCGGGCTTCACCCCCACAGCCCACCTCTGGGGACCCAATCAAGCACCTCCTCTACAGAAAGCCTTCCTGGATTCCCCACTTATTGATATCCTTTCTCCCTCCCCAGACTGTAAAACTCCTTGAGCTCAAAACTCATTTTTATCACCCCCCCATAGCCACCTGGCAACAACAGGGCATCAGACACGTGGTTGGTACTCAGTCTGTGTTCACTGAATTTCAGCAGCGGGACAGAAGGGACTCGGTCGGGGTAAAGTACAGACCTCAGTTAGAGTTCAAGAGATTAATATTCTGGTCCAGTGAATGTACCAGAGCCGGGGACATTGATCTAGAGGGGCTACATTCGCTTTTATCTGGAAAGCACTTCATTGTTTTCAAGCGCAATTTCTTTTTTGATTCTCCCAGGGAGGTTCGGAAAGAAGGGATATTGCTTCCACTGGCCCAGAAAGGCCTCATGGCAAAGTAATGCGCCAGAGCGGTCCCGGGCTCCTCCCTGACCTCAGGCCTCAGCTAGCAGGTGGACCCCCGCCCTCACTCACCTGGTTTGCAGGGGATGGGCTGAATGGGCAAGGCCAGCTGGGAATCGGGGGTGACAGGCAGAGGCTGGTGACTTGGAGGGAAGGCTGGGATCATGACGTAAGGCATGTTGACCTGCTGAGGGCAAAGAAACCCTGTGTGAGTCCCTGGGGGCCCAAACAGCTCAACCCAGGATGCAGAGGATGGACCCAGACACGAGAGGTATAGTGACCGGTACAGGGTGAGTCTTCAAAAGGTCTCCACATGAGGGGCACCTGGGTGGCTCAGTCGGTTGGGCGTCCGACTTCCGCTCGAGTTAGGATCTCATAGTTCGTGGATTCGAGTCAGGATCTCATAGTTCGTGGGTTCGAGCCCCACTGTCGGACTCTGTGCTGACAGCTCAGAGCCTGGAGCCTGCTTTCGATTTTGTCTCTCTGCCCCTCCCCTGCTCGTTCTCCTCTCTCTCAAAAAAAAAAAAAATATATATATATATATATATATGTTTTTTAAAGGCTCCCTTCGACCCTACATCTCCTCTTACCTGCCAGCCCCAGCTAGGGAAGACGACACTATGGCCCCTCCCGTAAACCAGGGGAAGACACCTGGGGTTCGGAGCTAGAGCAGAAGTGAGCCCCCTCCTTAGGGCCATGCCTGAGTGAGTCTGCTTAACCCACCTCTCCCCCATCTCTCCCTGTCCCTGGCAGCCATCCATCTCCAGGCTGATGTCACCCCCTCAGCCCCTGGCCCTCCCCCCACCCTTTTTACCTGGATCTGCTGCTGGAGGAGGTTGATCTTATGTTGCTGCTGAATCAGCTGCTGCTGCTGTTTGGCAATCTGGCGGCAGGAAAGAGCAGGGGCACAGACATGAGGGCTGTTAGCCCTGTCCCAGGACGCACCGCCCCCTGCCCCCCACACCGGCACAAACCACACGCTGGGTGGGGCAAGCAGCAGGACAGCCCACCTTCAGAGCACCTTCCTCCGGAGGCCAAGGGTGGAGGTTGGGCGGAAGTAGCAAGCTGCTCAGGCTCAGAGCCCCTTCCAGTCCCCGGCCCCCCACAAGGCTTACAAACAGCCAGAGGTGGGACTACTACTACACCCCCACCACCCAGGCCTGCCCCCAACGTGCTCCCTTCTAGGCTCTGACAGACCCCCTCCGCTAGCAGACACGAGGCTGGGCCCACCTGCTCCTGCTGCTGCCGGGCCAGCTCCATCTGCTGCTGTTGCTTCTCAAACAGCATGGCAGCCATGTTCTTCTGCTCCGAGTGGGCCGTCAGGAGCTGGTCTCTCAGGGTAGACAGCTGGTGGATCATGACCAGGAGCTGGAGCTCTTTCTCTGCCAGGCTCTCCTGGGTCCCTGCTCCATAGCGAAACGGCCACCAGTAAGAATGTCTGTCTGTCCATCTGTCCACCTATGCACCCACCCACCCATCTGACATTTGTTGGGCAATGGCAATTTCCCAGGCCCCTGTCAGGGGCTGAGCGACAGAGGATAGAGACCTGATCCTTGCCCCGCAGGGAGCTTGCCTGCTGTCTGACAACCAGCTGCCCTAGAAGTTCCCCACCATCCCCCGCTGCTTCCGGTCCCTAGAAACGCTGACCGGGGACATCTTGGATCACTTCTCAGATGTCCTCAGGTGCCCAGTGCCACGGCATCGGTGTGGAGAACTGTCCCACAGAAGGGGCCCAGTGGGACACGCTCAGGCCTTGGAGCAAGACCGATCTGGGCTCAAATTCCTACTTCAACCTATCCTTTCCAGAAGTTGGATAAATAACCAACTTCTCTGCACTTTTTTTTAATCTATAAATAAGCACAGGAACAGCCACTTCCCAGGGGGTGCTGTGAGGGTTAAAAAGACAGTGAATGTAAGGCCGAGTCCAGAATCTGGCACATGGTCGTCCACCCACAGGGGCCACTGTCCCCTGCCCTCCACTTAAGCTCACGTAAGACACAGCTGTGCCAGGCTGCAGACCATTCGACTCAATCACTCAGGGAGCCTTTGAAACATACACACGCCCAGACCCCCGGCCCCGGGGGTTCTCACTCAGCACGTGGAATGGAGCCTGAACACTGGGGTGGTTTGAAAGCCCCCCCCACCATGGGGGTGAGCAACCACACTGCAAATACGGCCACTCTCATGAACCAAGCAGCAGCCCTTGAATTCACTCAGTGAGGTCCTGGCAGCCTAGGAATTTAATTTTCAGCAGTAAAAGGGGATAACCGGCTCATTTTATCTAGCTAGATCTGGGAAGTGGCAGGGACACACCTGAGGTTACAAGGGTCCCCGGTAAGAGCCCAAATCTGTATTCATGGAATGGCATTCCCACCAGGCCTCTCCTGCACGGGAAGGAGCCAGACCAAAAGCTCGGTCCCCAGGTGAGGGAAGGTGCCAAACCCCAGGGCTGGGCAGGAGCCGGAGGGGTACAGGCCAGATACAAGGGGACCAAGAGCCTCCAAAACCACCCCCCAGGCCCAGACTGCGTGGCCAGACTGGGAGAAGGGAAAGGGGTTCAGCCAGCCTCCCCCACCTACCCACATGGGCCTTCACCTTTCACGTCTTTGGTTTCCACAGAGCTCCTTCCCAGGAACCTCTCCTTCCAGTCACTGGACAGCAGCTTCTCGATGGCCGGCACGACTAGAAGACACCAGAGAGGTGTGGAACAGCGCTCTTAACACCTCCCGCCTGGGCCCGCCTCCAGCCTAGGCGGACATCTTACCTTCTTTTAAATTTTGGTTGAAGTCCAGTTTCTCGTGGCTTCCTGAGGCAGCCTCAGAACCTCCCGGTCTCTTGGGTTCTGGACACCCATTGCTGTCCGGGGGGCTGCAGTCCTGCAGTATGCACAGATTATCACCGTCACCCCCCCAAAAGCAGACTGCAGGGGGAACGGAGGCCCCCAGGCATGTGCACCCTGAGAAATCCAAGCGCACCCGCTGCCCCCGGGTAGGGCTCTCCCTCCCCACCTTCCCTACGTTTGCCCTGACTTTGCTGCATTTAGCAAAAGAACAAAAGCTTTAAAGATACCAGAGGCTCAGTGACTCATGAGGCACTTGATCCCACAGGAGACTCTGAACTTCTCTGAACCTGACTTCATTCCCTCTTCTGAAAGTGGAAATATTAATACCTCCCCTATCAGGACTGACGCTGGGGTCAAGTTAATGCACATGAATGAAGTTTGCTGCTGCAGGGTCAAGTGCCAAGCCCACTATTAATTATTACTCTCTTGCAGTTGCCCACATCTACAGCTGGGTGGGTTACTCCTGGGACAACCCCCTCTCCTCACCTGAGTCCTCTCCATTCTTTAAGGCCTAACTCAAGGCCCTACTCCTCCAGGAAGTCTTCCTCTATTGCTACCCCTCCCCCCTTCCCTCTAGGCTCGATCCTTCCCCAGAGCCCTAAAATTCTCATTTGGTTTTTAATGACACATTCCTCTTTTTACATCTCTTGCATGGAATCAGGATTTTTAAGAACTCCAAGAGTCCTTATTGCTCATGTAGTTCAGAACTCCTCCATGTTGAGGATGAGGAATTGAGTGACGGCACTCAGGCTGGGGTAATAAGGCTGATTTTCTCAAATTGTACGGTAGATGACTTTTGAGCAGATGTATCCTGTCTCTCCAACTAGTCCTCAGATCAGGACTGGTCACACATGGGGGAGTAGTTAGCACCAGGTGAGCATGCACAAGAGCGAGACCGTGTACCGCTCAGACAGGTGGCCTGCCTGAACTTGGCGGCCCCTCTCCACCCACCTACAATCTTCCCCCAGAGACGTTTCTGCTTCCTGTGTCCCCAGCGAGGGGAGTGGGTGCCTGCCCAGCCTCAAGGAGAGGTGTGTAGGCTACAGAGGCAAAGTGAGCCCCATCAAGTGTGGGTTATGTAGGCAAAGTGGGCGCAATGACCCAGGAGCCCTGGGGAAAGGGCCGGGCACCTGGGCTGGAGCTTGGGGGTCAGCACCATCCTGGGAAGCCCGGGCTGGGTCTCCGGGCTGGGGTTCCGCTGTAGCGGCGGAGGCCTGGATGGCCTCATGGCAGGGCTCCTTCTTCCCTTCAGACTTGACGGTGCAGTTCACCATGGTGCCAACGCCATCCAGGGCCAGCTGGGCAGAGCCAGGGCTCCTCATGGACATCCTAAGGGAGGATGAGCAGAGCGAAACCGACTGTAGACACAGCAACGCCATCAGCACAAAATGCAAACTCCCATTTGGAACCCACAGTAAAAAGCTAGAAACCATTCTTCTGCCCCTCACGTTCTTCCATAGGAAGGTCTACAGCCAGTCAGGCAGGCCCTACCTTCAGGAGTCCCTGCCCGTTGCAGCGTCTGGCTGAATGGTTAACCTAAGGAGGGCAGGGATTGTCAACTAGCGGTTTCTGCTCCCAGTAAAGCCAAAATTATGTGTATTTATAATTAGCTACCAAAATATACAAATCACGAGATATTGCATGAGATCTGGATTTGAACTTCTCTTGTTGGTCTGGGGGCAAGAATTGGCTAGAATTAAGTAGCAGGTGCTCCCTATGGACAAGCCAGTTTTCCTTAGTCCCTACCACTCCCTACTACCCCCCAAAAGGGGGACCAAGGGTCAACTACCCTTTATATACGTGTTTCTAATGGAGACAAGATAAAAGCGAACTATTTTTCATATCCATGTAGCTACCAAAAGTGGGGACATAGCAGGCTGAGAGATGTATAGCTTGGAGAAAAAATATTTGCCTATATCTAGCTGGAGTCTCTCACGGAGAGTCGCTCTCCTCTACTCCTGTGCCTTGGCAACTCTTGGTGTAAGCGGAATCTGCTCCCCTCACTGCTGCTGTCACCACTGCCTGGAATCCCAGGGATCAAAATCCTGGGGAGTGATTGCTGGTGGTCATTCCACACTCAGAGCCAAACAGACAGATGCGCACAGTTCACTTGCTCCCTGTTCAAAGTCACGGAGACAAGACCAGTGGGGACACCCAGCACCAGGTTCTAAGTACGCACAGGCTACTCAACTAGTGACGAAGTCACCTTGGACCTCTCCACACCTGTTTCCTCATCTGCAAAAGGGCGTTCAGGAGGAGACGATTTGTTAAAATTTACCTGTTTACAACATTGCTTGGCACTAGTGAAACCACCGCAAGTTGAAATGCAGTCCCTACAACGGAGCCACAGTCTAAGCATGCCCCGGGGGGTTGTTTGAGAGCTAGTCACGGTCACCCACAAATCAAACTCTGCGAATGGAGCAGGAATCTGTTTTAACGAACCCGACAGGTGAGGCCGATACTCACCCATTTGAGAAGCATCCTTAAATTGTCTTAAAAATGTAACACCTGTGCAAAAATTTTAGGAGGGGGCGTGTAAGACAAAAATCAGATCTAGTAAACATCCCTTAAAGCCGAATTGCGGGTGCAGTATATAATACTGTATATTGCATCGACTCCGTACAGCAAAACATTTCTTGTAATGTGAGTGAAGCAACGTGCTGTATACAAGAGCCCACGGACCGTATTTTACATGAAACAGCGGAACGAACGTTCCAGTTGAAGATGTATTTGATTTGATGCCACCTAGACCAGAGCAGACCCTCCTGCCACTTTCAAAGGCCAGAGTCCCCTCGGGCCTGACTGGCACGGGACCCAAGACACGACCCCAGCCGAGCTCCCCCGAGGCCTTTCAGGGTCCGGCCCCAGGGTCCCCTCTCACCACGCAGGGGCCTGGACAGCGTCCAGGAAGCAGGCGGCTCGGCCCATCCGGGCACAGGGCGGGGCGGCGAGCCAGGCCCTGAGCAGGGGGGCCGTGGGGGCGGGGCAGGCGGGGAGGGGGTATTATCCCCGAAGCTGAGGGCAGCAATTACATAACAAACAAACCCCGGGCTCAAGCTGTGAATTAATCAAACCGCTGAAAATAAAACCTTCCTCTCAGGAACTTCAGACAAAAGAAATGAAAACAACCAGGCTGGCTGGAAAATAAAAGGCAGCCGCGCTGAAAAGGGGACAAAAGGAAACCAGACAATAGGGTGTTGGACAAAGGCAATAAAGCCAAAGGAAGTGTGACAGGCGAACAATACGGGCCTGTGGGCTTGTGATCCCCGGCCGCTCCGCGCCACCTCGTCCGTCCCACACCCACCGCTCCGCCGGGCGTGGGCGGGCCACCAGGTCGCCTCCGCGCTCCCCACTCGGGTCCTAGGAGGTTTTCGCCTCCATTCTGTCCCAACTTCCTGGCCTTCCACCTCCTACCTCGAAGCCTTTCTCCCACTGCAGCCCAGAGACCCCAGCGGCACAGCAGGGCGCAGGTTAGACGGGCAGCCGGAAGGCCTCCCCACCGCAGAATGCTGCCCCGTGCATCCCCCCACCCCGGGCGGAAGGTGAAGGCAGGGAGGTGATTAACAGTCCTAATTAACTCTCGGACGGCACTGCCCACTCCCATAGCCACTCACCACCACAAGCGGCCACCGGGCTTGTAAGGCGGCCAGATCCCATGCGAGCGTGCTGAGCGTAAACTACACCCGGCTTTCAAAGGGTTAGCATGCAAAACGGAATGCCACATAGCTCATTAAGAAATGGTTATTGATTACACGTTGACATTACAATGTTTTGGATACACGGAGTTAGATAAAGTACTGTTTTCACCGGCTTCCTTTTGCACTTCGTAGCGTGGGTGCTGGAGAATTGAAAAGTTAGGCAGGAGGCTCACACCGGATTTCTGTCCGACGGTGCGCACGCGGACACCTCCCTTTGGGCACCGATGGCCTGTTTACCCACACTTAACCCCCCACCAGTACCTCGGGGGGGGGGGGGACTGTGGATGATCTTTATATGGGGAGCTTGCCTCCTCCTGGCGCTCCCACTGGCGCATCCTGGCCTCTGGCACAGCCCCGGGACACACAAAAGGACGCCTGGTGACCAGCCAAGCCGCTCACCAGGGCGTGGTGCCCACCAGACAGCCCTGCCAGACCCCGCTGCCCAGACAAGGGCCCTTCCATTTCCACAGGCGTCTGCCTCAACGTCGGGCACCGGCTCTCGGTTGGTCCCTCTGGGTCCATGTGTAGACGGAGAAGCAACAGCCTGGACCCTGGGCTCCTCCCAGGGTCTCACGTTCTGGGGGAGAGGGTCCTGGGGCGGCGGCTTCCTTCCCTCCCCTTTCTGCCCACAGAGACGAGAGTCCCTCTGAAAAGCGTCCGTGCCAGGTGCTGAACCCGAGACATCCAATCCCGCTCTCTTCCCTGAGTGCAGAGCAAAAGCTGCATGTGATTAAGTAAAGAGCGAAAGGAGAACCAGGTGGAAGGTAGGGAGTCCACGTGCAGCCCTGCTCCGCACCCCCACGGCTGAGGGTCCTTGCAAAGGTGCCTCCAGGTCTACAGGCTCATGGGAGAACAAAGACACCTGGAGGTTAGCAGGTGGTCAATGGTACAGAGTTTGGAAAACTCACAGGCTTTTGGGTTCTCCGACCTGAGTTCAAATTCCTGCTGCACCACCAGCTGACTCGTGTGACCTCAGGTAGGTTCATGAGCTCTGAGCTGGTCTCCTCATCCATATAATGGGTATAATAATCCCTAGCTCACAAGTGCCTGAGAAGATTAAATAATAGAGGGTGAGTATCCATTAAGTTATCATATAGCCCAGGAAGCTTCTAGATGCAGGTGGTTAAGAGAGAAGTTACCTGGGGTCAGACAGACCCGCAGGTACATTTGAAATCCAACTCTACCCAATTAATTGCTGTGCAATCTTGAGCAAGTGACTTAGCCTCTCTGAATTCATTTCCTCCTCAGAAAAAATGAGAATAAGAAAACCTAGTATGGGGGCGCCTGGGAGGCTCAGTTGGTTAAGCGTCCAACTTCAGCTCAAGTCATGATCTTACAGTTTGTGGGTTCGAGCCCTGCATCGGGCTCCGTGCTGAAAGCTCAGAGCCTAGAGCCTGCTTCAGATTCTGCGTTTCTCTCTCTCTTTGCCCCTCTCCTGCTCACACACACTCTCGCTCCCTCAAAATAAATAAATGTTTAAAAAAAAACAGTATGAAGGGATAAGCCTTCCATTAACACCCCAGACTCTATAATATGTACCTGTTTTACATTATTATGATACCCTAAACTTGGCCTTCAGGACACTTATCACAGTTGGTAATGATACCTGTACATGCTTAATTTATTTCTGAAGGGCCTAGTAGCCTGGAAACCCACCCCGGAGCACTGTGGAAACATACCTGGTTTTGCTCACCACTGTAGCCCCGGAATCTAGCACATTGCCTGGAGCATAGTAGGTGCTCAACAAATACTCCCACAATATCAGAGTAGAATACAGTTCAGCAAAAGAGCATAAGGCAGACCTGGGTGCATAATAAGTTAACAGCTACTACAGACCGTCCTCCACTTATGAAGGGGTTAGATCCCAGTGAACGCATCAAAGTTGAAAAGATAGGTCAAAAATGCATCTACTCCACCCGACCTACCCAACATCTTGGGCTTAGCCCAGACTGCCTTAAACGTGAACACTTACACTAGCCTACAATTGGGCAGAATCATCTACACAACACCTACTATAGAATAAAGTGTTGAAAATCTCATGTAATTTACTGAATACTGTGCTGACAGGGAAACACAGGCCCAGAACCGTGACAAGTGTAACTGGCAGCTACCCGGGAGCGGTCACTGCCCAGCATCACGACACAGCGGCATAGTGCGTGATCGCCAGCCTGGGAAAAGATCAAGATTCAAAGTATGGTTTCTACTGGATGCGTGTGGCTTTTTGACCCTCCTAAAGCTGAAAACTCAGAAGTCAAGCCATCATCGGTCAGAACGTCTGTGTTATCATTATCCAACAGAAGTTGCGTACACGCCACCCGGCCCCCAGCCAGCCTTGGCGGCCTCCCTGGGCCCCCAGCCAGCCTCAGCTGCCTCCCCTCACATCTAAGCTCCTCCTATGAGTGAACTAAATCCCCCCCAGCACCAAAGCCAACCTCCTTCCTTTGCTCTTACCTTGGGACAGGGAAGAAAAGCTGTCCACACCCTTCGGATTTAAAGACCCTTTTGGGGGACACCTCAGTGGGTCAGTCAATTAAGCATTTGACTGTTGATTTTAGCTCAGGTCAGGATCCCAGGGTCGTGGGATGGGGCCCTGCTTCGGATTCCGCACGCAGTATGGAACCTGCTTAAGATATTCTCTTTCTCTCTGTACCCCTCTCCCCTGCTCGCACTCTCTCTCTAAAATAAAAAACAAATAAAGACCTACTGGAATCTTAGGTCTCTCCCTTTCGAGAGATGTAAAAGCTCCTTTAATTTCTTTGCCCTGTCTTCAAAAAGCACACTCCAGGTTTCCATTACCCACGTGGTTTCTCAGGAGGCTTGGAGGACAGCAACTACACCCGCCCAGCTCCCCAGAGGTCTAAACGCCAAAGGACCCTCGACTCAAAGGAGCAGTGAGTTACAGGGCTCAGTCAGAGGCCACCAAGTCCATAGTACACTCCCGTCAGCCTCCCCCCGGGGTGGAAGTACTCCTGTGAACCTGGCCTCCACCCTCCCTTGCCCAGCCTTACTCATAGTTCATAAATGGAGACACTGAGGCCCAGTTCGCATGGCTTGTTTCGGCAGTACCGCTTCTGGGCTAGAGGCAGAACGCAGGGACACGGACCAGCTGGGATACAGATCAGCACCCCTGCTCTCCCCACCCTTCCCTTCTCCCACTCCCCAGGCCCCCTGCAGCCTTCCTTCTCGGCCTTAGCTCACCTGAGCATCTGTAAGAGGTGAAGTCCTCTGGGGGAGAGGGCTTAGGACATCCTCACCCAGGATGGGCCAGAGCCTGGAGTCTGGGAGCCGGCCACAGAGAGGCCCCGGGCCAGATCCCTGGCACAAGGCATAGAGAGACCCCTGCACTCCAGAGGGCCAGCCGCTCAGAAAGGCTCTTATAGCACACAGCTGCCTGCAGGTGCCGGTCCTCTCCCTTTCTCCTCCCCACAGCCAACCCTTTCCTGGGCCCTCCGACCCCCACCCACGGGAGCACGCGCACGAGCCCCTTTCTACCCAAAACACATCACCAGCCGCTTCCTTTCCCGGATCAGCCAACAACGGGCCCAGCTGGATTGGAATCAAAGGAGTTTGCAACCCTCAGCCCTTCCTCCCTCTACAACGACAGCCCCCTCCCCGCAAAAAATATCTAGATGCAGATAAAGATAGAGATAAATTCCAGTCATCAGAGCATGACGGGTGACTCAGACCCGGGGGGTACAGGAAGACAGCCTGAGCAGACAGGCAGACCCCCCAAGGAGGGCCATGACTGCACTTCCCCACCAGGCACAGCCAAACCTGCAGGCCATCCCACTCCAAGCTCACCGAGCCGGTGGTACCAAGGGGCACCACCAGGGAGAGATCCACTCGGCAGGGGTGGGGCAGGGCCTGAGTCCCAGGGGAATGTCACTTCCTCTCAAAGCCCCAGAGAGTGGAGAGCCTCAGGCAGCCCCAAACAATAGCCCGAGGCGTGGGTGCCCAGAGCAGTGCCCCGGTGCCACATCCTGCCATTCTTCTCCCAGGCCGCACCCTGCCACCCTTCCTGGCTACGCCCGATCCTATCTCTGATGTTTACTCAGAGCCGGGAGCTGGGCTGGCTACAGGCTTGGGGAAAAGCTTTCCTGAGAGGCCCCCCTCCAGCCTCTGCGGGCCCCTGGGGTACCGGGTCCAGGGCGCGCACGGGTCTGGTCTGGCGCAGCTCGGGAGAGGGTCACACACAATACCCCCAGTCCCTGGGCTGTTCTGGGCAGGCCAAGGTGGTATTCACCTGTTAGAGCAGCTGATACCAACCAACGGAAACTCTGATCCCCGAGCTCCCGTCCAGCCCACAAGAGGCGGCAGCTCTGCCAGATCCAGCCTGAGTTTCACTGACTGCCAGTTTGAGTTGAATCCAGAGCACAGAGGACTGAAGGAGCCAGGGAGAGACCGTAGCTGTGATGGTCCCATCCAAGGCCCCATCTGGTTGTCCCAGGTCTCTGAGGCACCTGAGTCTTCTCCCAGCCCAGGAGGAGAGTTCAGGAAAAGATGGGGGGTTGGGGGCAGACAGCTTGCAACTGCTGGTGAGGTCCCAGTGGGATGCATGCCTGCCCCACCGTCCTGAGTAAAACGGAGAAGTAAACAGTGTTTCCTGGAGTCCCTTCTCTGGGGGCCCTCCAGCCTTTGGGACTGGCTCTCTCTCCAGCCCACCCACAGCGCTAGGGGGCCCCTGCAGTCCCGTTCCTGTCTCCCAGTGACCAAGTCTAAGCCCACGTCCCAGGCAGGGGAATGTGTCTGGTCTTCTGCACGAACCATGCCCAGGCCAGGGCTGGCACACAGCAGAAATGGCGTGGCCGGGGACCGACTGGCTTGGCAAAGACCTCCCTTTGGGGACAGCCCTGAACATTAACCAAAGGAAGGAGAGGCCAAAGGGCATTCAAGGGCACAGCACTCGCTCGGCTGCAGGCACCAAGTGAGAGGCTCGCTATGCATTTCCCAGCGGAGCTGGCATCTGAACCCAGGCTTTGGTGATGCCCAAAGCGACGTCTTTTCCTATCAGCCAATACGCTGTCGCTCTCCCTCTACCCCAGATAACAGGGTCCAGTCCAGAGCAGGCAGATCTGCCACTGTCTTCACTGCTCACAGGATTCTAGTTGTTTTTGACTTGAGTCACGGCCAAGGAAGAATTAGTCAAAAGAAATCAAGGCCGCTTTGAGAACCTGGAGAAAAGACGTGACCTCTCAAAACCTGAGTTCCTTCATGTGAAAGTGGAGACCCCCAATACCTACTTTGTGATTAGAAGGCAGCATATACTCAGAGGAGCCAGCACAGAACATATGCTCAGCAGGAGGGGGGAGAAGAGACCTAAAGCAAGGAGTGTCTGATGCCCCTCTCTACTTAGCTTCCCTTCCCAGGACACCCGGCAGGTCCCAGGCTCCCTGGTCCCCACTTCTCTGGGAGACAGGAGGGCAGGGGTGACCCTCCGGCACTGCTGGGAAGTATCCTGGCGTGGCAAAAAGAAAATGATCTTTGGGGCTCCTGGGGTGCTCTGTCGGTTAAGCATTCGACTCTTGATTTTGGCTCAGGTCATGATCTCACAGTTTGTGAGTCTGAGCCCCACTGATAGCGGGCAGCCTGCTTAGGATTCTCTCTCCCCTCTGCCCCTCCCCTGCTTGCTATCTCTCTCTCTCAAAATAAATAAACATTAAAAAAGAGAGAAAGAAAGAAAGAGAGAGAGAAAGAAAAGAAAATAGTCTTTGTTCCCAACCAGGCCTGGGTCTAAAGCCTGGCCCCTCCTCATATTACTAGCTGTGTGACTAGAGGAAGTTTCTGTCTCTCCATCTTTAAACTGGAACATACAATAACTATCTTGTAGAATTATTCAGAGGACCCAAAGTGATGTTTGTAAAAAAGCAAAACAAAAAACAAAAAACCCGACCAAGCGTGCACCCTGAACGCTCCCCTCACCCCTTTGTGGCAGCCTTCCCCACCCCACGTGATCAAACACACAGAAGACCCACCGCAGGAGGACAGTGGGGCGCGTCACCCTCTTCCTTCCCCATCTGCTTCCAGTAGATCTCCCTCCCTCCGGCCCC